TTTCTTTCCATGATTAATCAACAGAAAGTGATTTGATTTTCCATTTTTCTTTTTACTCACCGATTTCAGAAAGTCGATCATAGTTTGGCAAATTTACTACTCTCCTATATATGTCACTTCTACTGTGATTGACATTTTTTAAGTATTCTTCAACATTCTTGTTTATGCATCACCTCCGCTTAGAAATTTGAGCCGTTTTATTTTCTCTTACTCTTCACCCGTGTGCAGTTCTCATTTAATTTTAAACTTCTTGAAAAATTAGAAAAAGAAGATTAAATGACCAGAAAATTCCATCAGGTGATTTCAAAACAACTTACCTTACTTACTAGTGACTTTTAAAGCACAAGGAAAGAAACACGCAACTCAAAGTCAAGTATTATCTTAGCTATCTATGTGTTCAAACGTCTACCAAATCTTAAATAGATAAAACAGTCGTTCAATTTACAATGCTATTAAATCTTTAATCTTGAAGTTGTTTTAATGAAATAAAAATCATTTAGCAAATAAACATCTTTATTGATTATAGTCTATACTTTTATATATGTGTATATCTACGCCAGTCATAAAAATAAAAGAATTTGACGCTGGATTCAAGAGCTTTTCATTTAACTTTTCAGGGTCATTAACAGAAAGGCTACTTCTCTTCAGGGTCTAAAAAAAATGCTAATCATCCTTTTTGGTTTGGATTCACTGACCCATGACCTCTAATTTCCAATATCATATTTTACTGGCATTAAAACAAACTCCCTGTTGACTCTGGTTATACTACAAGTGTTCTGCATCAGTTAGTTAGCTAAGCTTGTTCACACACTGAGGATATAATTAAAGCGTATTTATTATGAAGTGCCAGTTAACTTATGTTTATATATATGTATGCTTTTACTTGAAATCGATTGGATTGGTTCTACTACTATAGACAAAGCAAGAAGAGGAATAAAAAAATAAACCACACAGCAAGTTATTAGAATTAGAATTAATTTAATTTCCTACTTGAGAGTTTACGAATCCACGGCAAGCGTATTTTACGAATCAAATATATATATATATAAACAGAAAATCTCTTAAAGTAGCTAAGCACTGAATATTTAAACAGTAAGCTTTGCGAAATATCACCCTCTAAGTATATATACGTATAGATTTTGTGGACTTCAAGCACTTTGTTTATTCACTTTGTACTTTAAGCCCAAGCACTAAGCTGTGTACTCAAGTTTTATTATTTTTGTCACTTGTTTTTAGTTTTGTTTTCTGAAAAAACTCTCCCACAAACACCATAAATATGAAGTCAAAAACAAAGTGTTATTCATAATAAACAAATGAACAGGTGTTTCACTAGAACACAGATGAATAGTTTCAGCCTAATATAAATACTTTTTAAATCTTATTTCTTTGCATTCCCAATGGAATATATGGGGGTTAAACCTTCAGCTGTGAAGTTTTAGTAGCAGCGATTTCGTTTTTATTGGGTGAAATTGCTAGTTTAACACCCAACCTCCCGTCTTTACTGGTATCACCACTGGCTTCATGAAGCTTAAGAGAGAGTCGACCAGAAATCGAAACCCCGATCAAAGGGGGGTTGGTGAGACATCTATGAATTAACTAACTGATATTATAACCTGTGGGCGAACTTGAGACCTCTCAGATCCCACCAAACTAACGCATGTAAGTTAATCAGACTCTCACTGCAGACTGAATACAGAACGAGACTGACTGGAATTTCACTAAGAAGTCGTAAACATTGGATTCCACAAAGTTTTAAACTAGGACAAATTCTCAACGACAACTGTCGCTCTGCGTATTTAAAATTGACAGAAGTGACAGTTGATTGGCCATTACACCCCGTCCCAGTAGCTGAAAAGTCAACGAGCTTATCTTCAAACCTGAGGGTCCTGGGGTTCGATCTCTTTCACTGGTTGTCTGGTGTTCCCTGGTTTCCAGTGGTTTTCTAACTGATATAATTCAGGAACTAAATTTGAAATCAGTCATATCCTTACAAACTAAGACTCGAAATAAAACTAGCTAATTTACCTGGCTTTAAACCTTAGGACTAACCAGTATAACAATGAAATACATAAACCGTACTGAGTACCTTTATTGGAAAGCCTGTAAATGATATCATACATGAGGGTTCAGTGTAAAAGTGAGGTTATTTGTCTTGATGGAGTCAATCCCTGCATTTTTCACACTTTATACCAATTGAAAAGTCTCAATCTTTCACCACTGATGCCAACAAATATGTAGTTATCGAAATTGAGCTTTAGGTTTTCAACATCAAAAGTTCTGTAGAAATTAAAAAGAAATTCAGCGAAGAAAATCTTCTTTATCGACGAAATCATCTTCAGAGGCTGTACAGTCGTATTTATACTTACAAACACATATATAATGGTCTATTATTGAGTAATAAGAGGTGACATAATCGATCTAATTACTCAGAAGTGGTTTTAGAAGTGAAAATTAAAAGTTGTAAATTACGTGGTACTCAACGATGGCACAAAGATAGAAATTTGATAAGGTTAAAATTGCTATTGAGTGAGAATAAGAGTATTTGAGCATCAATTTAACAAGTGTGAAGAGGGTGTGAAGTGTACAGAAGGAGCATATGAGAATGATAATAGTGAATTAATTATTAAAGCAAAAACAAACTAAAAGTAAAATTAAAAATCAAAATTTTTTATAGGGAAAGACTAGTGAAGAGGTTAAGACTAAGGTAGGATAAGAGATGGGACAAACGTTTTCTGTATACAGAGTTCAGGGTTGTATTGACGAATAGCTAGCGCCTCCACCATACACAAAAGCCGAAACCTGACACCCTCTGTACCATTTGGCTTCTTTTAGTAGATGATCTTGAAAGACGACTCTAGTGGAACTACTTGGCCTGAGTTCATCAAATCCTCAAGAATTGAGCCTCGTAACAAAAGTTCTCTATAAAATTCAAATCAATAGACCTTCTTTCAGTCATCAGAAACTTTTACAATAGCTTATATGGTGAGATAAAAAATAACCTACAGACTTTAAATCAATAATTGGATGTTATATATGACTGATTTATTGATTACTTTATGCAGAAAAAATGCCCCCATACTGCATTCTGATTTTGCAGCACTAACTAGGGAATATCTATATTAAAAAATTGTAATTGAATGAGCATAAAAGTACTAAGAGGAAATAATTTGTTTATCAGTTGTAATGAATTTATAAATTATGTTATAAAGTCTTTAAAAGGCAGAAAGAACTTCATCTATTTCCATGGTACCTTTTCAAAATTTGTACTTCAGTGAACAGTGTTCTTTATTATCTTAAATAATAATGATGATATCATCAGTTTTGTTATCTCTAGCAACCTGACCAATCCGATTTAAAAACATTTGTACTTATTTCTGTGTTAACACCGTTTAAAACAAGCTGCTCCAACAGATACGTTCATAAATATGGAAACAGTTAGGATGGAGAATGATTCAGTGTATAATAATAGGGGTGAATTCTCCTGCAGTATTATAAGTCAGACATTGGATCTTACGATGGAATGGATCTTAAAAAATTTTAAGATTTTCAAGCATTGGTTTGTATGGATTTTGTTTGATTGCATGGAGAATTTCATCACGAGCTGACATCACTTTGAGAACCATTGGAAAATCTGGGAGTACTGGACAGCTGTTTCGTTAGACCAGTTTGGGACACTTCATCAGTACACACCCGCCGGGATTCGAACCCAGGACCTTCTGGTTACAAGGCGAGCTCGTAGACCATTGAGCCAGTGAGACCCGATCCAATGGTCAAAGCATAAGAATTCAAGGACCATTGGATCGGGTCACAGTGGCTTAATGGTCTACGAGCTCGCCATGTAACCAGAAGGTCCTGGGTTCGAACCCTGTTGGGTACGTACTGATGAAGAGTTCCAAACTAGGACGGAGGAAACAGCTGTCCAGTACTCCCAGGTTCTCCAATGGTTCCCTAACTGATGTCAGCTCATGATGAAATCCTCCATGAAACTTTAAAATCAAGAGACGTATACTGTAAAAAGGTGGAAAACTGATATCTGGGATTCTACCCGATGAAAAATAATAAGTTGATGGAATATTAATGAAAGAGGAATGAAAATTTTAAGTATCTTTTGAGGTGAGTAATCAATTCGTGTAAGCAGTATGATAATAGTAGAATGCAAAAATACCAAAGAAAAATGGACATTCAATTCTAGTGACATTTATGATTTTTGATGCCACACTATTCACATATAGTTACTACTCACAAGATTAGTGTGTCGAAGACTGAAGATTTGAAGGTCATAAGTTCATAAGACCTCACAACGTTTAAAAGTAAAAAGGTCACTCCTTAAATTTAACACCCATATCTAAACAGTGCTGAACGTATATACGTTAGGCTTTTCTGTTAGCATGTTTGTCTCCTTAAATTAGCTTAATATTTAGTGACATAGATTATCCCGTTTCTTCTGATTTACTAAGTGAACAGTATTCATCATTATCAATGATAGAGTCCTCAAGATGACATTCTGCAAACTTGAGCTACATAGAAAGTGCATCAAGTCAAAATTAATAGGATAAAATTAGCGAATAAATATTTTACTGATTAGAACAGATTCTCTTATTGATGTCAGCTTGATAGAAACTGTTCAAAAACCAATTAACTTCTGACAAACCTTCCAGCTAAATACACTCCTATTTAACTAGGCATTTGAAGCAAGAAGTGAAAGTTGGGTCATGAGGCCCTCGGCGAAATGAACGACAATGGTGAACTCTTCTCAGACTTCTGCGCCTTCAATGATTTGGTGATTGGTGGTAGTGTGTTCAAACACAAGGATATACACAAGACGACATGGATTTCACCAGATGGAAACACCAAGAATCAAATAGACTTCATCTCAATTTCAAGAAAGTGGAGACGGAGCCTACTGGACACAAGGTCAAGGAGAGGAGCAGATGTGGGTTCAGACCACTATCTAGTAGAAGGGACTTTCAAGGTGAAACTAAAAGCCTCGAGGATAGCTGGGGATAGGCCACAATGCAAGTTCAACACTCAGAAACTGAAGGACACAACCACAAAAGACACTTTCACTGCAACTGTCAGAGCAAAGCAGGAAACACTACGCGACATCACTGAAGAATCATGCGTGGAAGAACATTGGAAGTCTCTGAAGGCGATTCTCAACGAAACGTGTTCAACGGTTCTAGGAAGAAAGAAGAGACAAGACAAGGAATGGCTCTCAACGGACACTTGGAAATTAATAGAAGAGAGGAGAATGGTGAAAGAGAAAATGATTCAATGCAAGGACGGACAGGAGAAGGAGACGATGAGCTCAACTTACAAAGCATTGGACAAAGAAGTGAAGAAAAGTGCTAGGAAGGACAAAAGACGATTCTACGACAATCTAGCTACTGAAGCTGAAAAGGCAGCAGGCAAAAGGGACCTGAGGACACTATATCAGATAACCAAATCTCTATCCGGGAAGAGATCAACACAAGCGAAACCTATAAAAGACAGCCAAGGGAACCCAATTACCAAGGAAGAAAAACAGATTAAACAATGGGCGGATCACTTCAAAGGACTCTTGAACCGACCATCACCTGCAACCCGTCCAGAAATACCAACAACAGCGCGCACACAACTGCAAGTTGACACCAATCCTCCAACGAGAGCTGAAGTCTTGAACGCAATCAAACTTCTGAAAGCTGGAAAAACAGCCGGACCAGATGGAATACCCCCTGAAGCACTGAAAGCGGACCCAGAGACTACAGCAGACATGCTGACTCCATTATTGCAAAAGGTCTGGAAGGAGGGAAAGGTGCCTACTGACTGGAGGAAAGGTTACCTCGTGAAACTACCAAAGAAGGGCGACTTACGCCTCACTCTGCAAGAACTGGCGAGGAATCATGCTCCTATCGACGCCAAGTAAAATCCTGAGTCGCATCATCCTGGAGAGATTAAAGGACGCACTGGAGACAGAACTCCGACCAGAACAAGCTGGATTCAGGAAAGGCAAATCATGTACTGACCAAATTGCAACTCTACGCATCATCATCGAACAAAGCATGGAATGGCAATCAAACCTCTACCTCAACTTTATAGACTTTGAGAAGGCCTTCGACAGCGTTGACCGTGAAGTAATTTGGAAATTACTCGAGTACTATGGCGTACCCCAAATATTCATCAACCTTATTCAACAGCTGTACGACAACGGCACCTGCCAAGTGATCCACAACGGAAAACTCAGCGAGGCGTTTGGAGTAAACACAGGAGTCAGACAAGGGTGCTTACTATCACCAATGATATTCCTAATTGTGGTGGACTGACTGGATTATGCGTCAGACAGTGGTGGGAAACGAGAAGACAGGAATATCCTGGACCGACGTGAAGAACCTAGAAGACCTGGATTTCTCGCGTGATGATTTATGTTTGATGTCACACACAATCGAAGACTTACAAGCGAAAACCGACAAACTGGTCGAAGAAGCAGCCGCGAAGACAGGACTCCAGGTGAACATAGACAAGACGGAGGTTATGAAAATAACCAACCAACAACAGCAACAACATCCAACGTCAATCACCATCAACGGGAGGGATTTGAAAGAGGTTACTTCATTCACTTATCTAGGGAGCATTGTCTCAACTACAGGAGGAGCGGACGAGGATGTCAAATCGAGCGAGAATCGGGAAGGCGAGAGAAACACATTCATCAACCTGAAACCAATCTGTCTGGAAATCTTCGTCACTCAGCATCAACAACAAAATTCGGTCGGATTTTCAATACAAACGTCAAGTCAGTCGTTCTTCTATACGGATCAGAAACTTGGCGGGTGGGTCACAAAGAATATTTCCAAAAGGTTGCAGACCTTTATTAACAACTGTCTTCGCTCTATACTGAAGATCAGATGGCCGGGCGGAAAGAATCACCAACAAGGAATTATGGGAACAAACAAAGCAAGAACCAATCGCCAACCAACAAATATGCAGAAGAAAGTGGAGATGGATCGGACACTCGCTGAGGAGACCGCTGGGTGACATCGCGCGCGCGTCAGGCAATTGGTCGAGTGGAACCCGAAAGGGAGGCGGCGTGTGGGACGTTCAAGGGTGTCATGGAGGAGATCGTGTGAAGAGCAGTTGAAACAGTATGGACTAACATGGATGCAGGCAAAAAATACAGCAGAAAACAGAAGGAAGTGGAGAAGTGCAGTTGAAGCCCTATGTTCCACTAGGAACCCAAGGGAACAATAATAATATTTGCGGCTGCGTTGGTGGCACAGAGGTAAAATGGTCGCTGACCACGTATGTGGTCCGGTATTCTATCCCGAGCTGACTGACTCCTAAATCTCGCTAAGCCAGTAATAAGATTGGTTATGTGTGAAATTTTGTCGTGAGGCTAGCAACGCCATCCCGTAAAATTAAACACCACTGCTACCGAAACTGTAGGCCTGTAGCCTGAATATATGTATAAAACTTGGGCACTGTGATAGTAAGTAATTCCGTATTAGCTTGTTTATTAGATATATCACACAGTGAAACAGTATTATTTACTGGATGACGTTTCGAACAAAATTTATTGTTCATAATCACATCAATTATAATCACACGACTTCGAAACTTGAGTTTTATGGTTTCCTTTGTCCTCTCTTATTTGTCATAGGAGTAGTATAATTTTCCAGATACCAGGGACAGGTGATGAATCATTCCTATCATATCTCTTCACCCGTAGCTTGAAGCCTTATGTTTCACTGGGAGCGTAAAGGAATAAAAAACTATATTTGCCATTCTCAGTTGCTTCTAAAGTCAAAACTGAAAAACTACGAGAGCAGGCGTATACTGATGAGAATACAGGCACTGCAGTATGGCAGTATGCTATTGTATCTTAGTGTATATGTATGCATTATCAAATAAAATTACTCTATAAGCGTATGCAGCTATTAGGTATTTCTCAAGATATACGAACATAACTTGTGCACTGTGGTATTTTTTCCTTCACGTTCCCAATGGAACATAGGGCTCCAAGCTCCTCCAGCACCTGAAGCAGTGTTAATTTTTACAGGATGAGGTTGCCAGCCTCTTCTCCAAGCTTTCCGCTTCACCAGTCTCACTACTGGCTTAGCGAGGTGAAGGAGTGCGTCGGCCGGGGAACGAACCCTAGGCCATGTGCATGATCGGCGAGCATCCTAACCGCTGTGCCACCGACGCATGCACTGTAGTATAGTAGGATTCAATTATAGGGAAAATTTATTTGACAAAGTTTTAATAGTGTTATGCAGTGTTATGTTATATTAACTGATGAAGTTTAGAGCCTAATTTATTGCTTATAATCCTATCAGCGTTTGTATAACACACTGTCAGACTTTATTTTCTCTACAATGGAATTCAATGCTAAGATGTTGTATTAAGCCTTGATCTTACCTGCTTTCCCAAATGAGAACATTTGGGTATGTGTGCACAAGACTCAATGAATTTGTAAGCCTACGAATTAATCGTTATGTTGAAACTGTACTTAAATATATATATATATATGCTGAAATAAAAGAGATTATTTCAAGTTGAGGATTAACTACGGTCGTAAAGATTGTAATCACTTGACCCTCAAAAATCTTGTTTCCATTTATTATCATTGAATGTAATCTACATAAAACAATGTTCCCACCTGCGTTAATTCTTTCCTATAATTCAATATGAGATTCATATAAAGGACTTCAAATTAAACAGAGTGTAATTTACTAATAGACTATTTTTCCCAGCCATCCTGTCATTCATATTCATAGAAAATTTCAAAATTATTGTATTAAATTATCTGATATAATATGAAATAGTACTGTATTTTCAGCGTTCCCAACAGATTGACTGAATCTATACTACGCAAATCATCTATTTTGGAGTCATAATGCGATCATGATAATCATTGGTAAGTTATATGAAGTTGTTTTGCATTGCCTTTCAACACGTTAATCAGAACGAAGCATTTCTGTTCCAAGCAGGTATAAAACTGACGTTAGATTGTCGATTTCATGAGGAATCACTTTCAGTTAAGGATGAATGGAAGCCAAAGAATACTGAGTAGCTGTTGCAAACGCGTCTATGACGCTTCAACAGCGCGTATCCATGATCTCACCAGGGATCGAACTTGAGATCTCCAGGTTACTAGACCAAGCTCAGCGATAAATCAACCAGAATTCACTAACTCATGAATTCTAACCCCATCAGTTCGTGATAAGGGAATATAGCCAACATATACAATCGATAATCATATAGTTCACCTAAGCATGACGGACTCCACTGGCCAATACATCTTATTAAGACTTCTATGAGCAGGAAACTGGTGGGTTTTGTAAGAATTCTGAAAACTTTATACTCTGCCTGGAAAAGTCTGATAAATTAAGGAGTAAATAGGTTAAAGTCTGGAATCATACTTCATTACATTCTCAATTTACCATGTGTGCGTTGGCGACACAGTGGATAGGACTCTCGCCGACCATGCACATGGTCCGAGTTTCGATCCCCTGCAGACGCACACTCGATATCTATGGTCGGTCTGCAAAATTCGGGCTACCTATATCACATGGTGAAAATTCTAAACCAAAAATTCGGTGTGGAATCAAGCTGTAATCAATATATATATATATATATATATATATATATATATATATATATATATATATATATATATAACAGAAAATGAAATAGAGTAACTTTTAAAAATGGCTAACTGTGAAACTAGTCAGATTCAAGGAGCACCTAACAAATTAAAATGTCCTCTCTGTCCTTTTGGATTCATGGACAGAGTTGGAAATACTTTAGTCACCTCCTTCAAACAATGATCTCATAATACTGCTCTTGTCTATCAATAACACCCGTAGACCAGTACAGTTCAAGTGGTCAGTGACAGATTTCTTGATTTATGCTCCAATCCGAAAACAATACTGAGTGCTAGTGGGCTTTAAAAGCTAATAGCAGCTAAGTTACGCATTTCATAACTTTCTTCCCATGTTGTTCTTCACTCCTTTTACAGACAGTGTAAACAAACTGTAATCCTTATCAAACTGTTGTATGCATAGGTCGCAAAAACCAAAACACCTCAGACGAACTTGTAGGGGACAAAGGATTTTACATGCCTTAATAAGGAGTCAGCAGCGAAATCTCCGGAGTAAAAAACAAATTAATCATTGTACAGTTAACTTAAATAGCAGTTTTTCTTAACACTTCGCTATGAAAGCCACTGCTTCTTCAGCAGAATTACTCATAATTTATAACACATATTTCCTTGTTATATTTTGGTGTAACGACTGGAAACAACTTGTTGTAGTCTGAATGCAGAGAACCGATCTTATACTTCATAGCTGATCAAAACTTCTTTGAGCTACTCACAGTCACAAAATCCTCCAGTGACAGCAAAAAGATTATTATTTGCAAGTATAATCTGCAGTACTATTCAATAATAATAACAATAATATATCGAAAGCTCAAAGGGATCACAACAGTGCCATTGGGCAGTTATACAGGTCAAATAGTTTCTCAAGTACAAAACGAGCACTATACAGCCGGATTATTTATTTTTATTTTATTTTTGAATACAGATTGATTCCACACTGTATTTTTGGTACAAGTATGGAATTTTCAGCATGTGATATCGGTAGCCTAAATTTTGCTGGCCTACCATTGATATCGGGTATGCGTCGGCAGGAAATCGAACCCCGGACCATGTGCATGGTCAGCGAGAGTCATAACCGCTGTACCACCGTAGCCAAAATCAGCCGTAAGAAGTACCTCAGAATCAAGAAGAATATTTCCAACAGTGTGGGATCAAAACTCTTTCAGCAACAATCACCCAAAGAAACAATCCTCTTAGCCAACCTGTTGTCGAACTGACCTCCACTCACTCAAACAAAATCATAGTTTTGAAGGGAACAACATTATCAGTGTCATCGCACAGCCAGAAAAAGAAACATTAGAAT